AGTACAAACTGAATTACACGATTATAAATATAACAACTAGATAAAATATATACATAGAGTCACACTGTTAAAGTTATATCAGAGGTTACCAATTATCTACATTTAAAAAACCTGTTAAAGGCGGTTAGGTGAAGGACAACGATAAAATATGCTATAATGTTCAATAGTCTATAGTTCAAAAATAGGTCATTAAGTGTAAAATTACGAATTATACTTAATTGTAACAAAGTTGCGAAACCGTTCAGTAAATATAAGCGGTGCAGGAGGATTGCTGTTTCGCAGGCAATAGTTATGGACGGGTTCGTACGGTGTTTCTTTAAGAATATTTACCAGCGGGTTGCGGAAGGTTGACTTGTGATCCTTTAATTTCTGAACGAACGACTTGCAGGCATCGCCTCTGCGATCAATTAATGTATCAAATCCGGTAGTATCCAGCGCATCGGCATATGACAAGTCAGGATAGATGATTTTAAGAGCACGACGTTGAATGGACTCAATTTCATTCGACAACGTGGATGACAACGTAGCCCACGACGGTGTCGCGTATTCCAAAAGTGAACGTATAAAGGAGCAATAAACTGTTGCCAAATCAGATTGCTTCAGATCAGCTTTACGTAACTTGCGGAGGGAATATGATCGTGAATTTGCCTTTTTCATTATATAATCGGCATGTGAATTCCACCTAAGATCGTTAGACAAGTGGACACCAAGTAGTTTAAATGAGGATACTAATTCGACGGAAACTCCTGAGATGTAAATAGGACTAAAACAAGTGTGGTTGTATTTCAAGAAAGTAATGATCATTTCCTTACATTTCTTGGGATTGAGCTCCATTCCTCTTTTTGAAGCAAACTGGGAGATTTCATTTATCACTATGGGTAGTAAACTAGGGGAACCCCGCGGAATGATTTCAAAGGCCGTTGAATCATCAACAAATTTAATACAACCGTGCCAATTGTTTAATAGCTGGTTGACAAGAATTGCAAACAGAAGAGGTCCAAGTTTGGTAACTTGAGGTAGGCCACCATTAGTTTTCTTCCATGAAGAATAGTAATCATCAAATTTTACGCATTGTTCGCGATCCGTAAGGAAATCATAAATCCTACGAACGATGGTGGAACGGTGGACATCAAGTCGTTTTTAGTTCGTCGATTATAATGCTGTGGTCGACCAGATCAAAGCCTTTTCTAAAGTATCTGAAGAATATTCTAACAAAGCATTGACCTGACTCGAGAGCTGCAAGAATGGAATGTAACAGATAAACCAAGGCATGGGTTGTAGATTTGCTTGGGAGGGAAAACTGCATTGAATCCATTTTGTCAGCAACTTGCAATAACAGAGATTTTAAAGTAAACCCTTCCATGACTTTTGACACTTGAGATGTCAGTGAGATGGGCCTTAGGTCGTTCTCAAGGGATGATGGAGGCGACACATTCGGAATTGGAATAACGACAGCACGTTTTAGTTATTGAGGAAAAATTCCTTGTTGCATGGATGAGTTATATATGTCAGAACTGGAGCAAATTCGGTAGCGAACATTTTAAGCAGCTTATTGGGAATACTGTCCGGACCCGTGGATTTATTTATCTTAATTTGTCGATGGGTTGCGGAGACAATGCCGGGATTGACAAGAAACTGATGGGGTATGTCGAGTTGGATGGAACTGGTATCACGTGTAAGTGGGGAAAAATGAGATGTGAGATTAACCAAGAACTCGTTAAACGACTCGGCCAAATGGGTTGCGGTAGGGTTATCATCAGTTAATATAACTGGTGGAACCATGTGACACTAGATGTCAAACCGCTTAAACTCTTAACTTCTCTCCACCACTTAGATGGATTACCTTCTTTAAGTTTTTCCACTGATTTCGAGTAATACTTACTACGCGCAGTTTTGACATCATGTTGGACTTTCTTGCGCAAGAATTTATAGGCTTTCGACGCCTTCCCGTATTTGCAAAAGGCCTTCTGACGTTTGGATATTGCAACTTTCAAGGAAGGGGTCATCCACTGCTTGTCAGACTTGCTGATTTTGGTTTTCTTAATTGGGAAAAAGTAATTAACTGCAGAGCTAATTAATTCATCAAATTTAGCATATTTTCCTTCGCAATCGGGAATGGATAAGACATAGGTCCAGTCGTAGGCGGAAATCCACTGACCGAACAGTCTTAGATTACTGTTCCTGAGATCTCTTTTCAGCACTGAACTATTCACTTGATTGAGTGGTTTATTTAAATAGGATTTGATAAGAATGGTATTATGGTCACTACGGCCAATAGGAGGCAATTTAAGTGGTTCAAAAATAGTTTTTTTCATATTAGTTAAACACCAATCTAGGACGGAGTTATCTCTGGTGGTCACGCGTATTATTTGCGAGAGACCTGTTAGCCTCTTAACACGGTTAACATCGAAACCAGTGCTAGTAGGGTTAAAATCACCTGTGACTAACACCAGCGCATCGGGGTGATTTCTAAGGAATGCGTCTAAATTACTTTGAATATGGTTATATAGATCCCAGTTCTCGGATGTACCGGAGGATGTCGTATGGTAGATTAAAACGTAGTTAAAGTTAACGATGCTTTAGGGTATCGTTAACTTCTCAAAACGTAGTTAAAAATGGCGCTTGTATAGGAGGGAACAACATTTTTCAGTAAAACAACAATGAAAAGTAATGCTTACCTGGGATTTTCAATCGCTATTTTCCCTGTGTATGTTTTCTGCCAATATAAACCTTTCAAACGCTATCACTTTGGTTTTTCGGCGAAAACAAAATATATTTTTGCACGGGAAGATTTCTCGAAGACGACGTAGGGCCCATTACATGAAGAAACATGATATATAATTGCCAAACAGTTACACTTTGGTTTAACGTAGACATCTCAAGTAAAAATGGCCTTCTTCGTTGATTTTTTCCTTGTTTTCTAGTATATTTTTCACTGTTTTCAATAAAATTTCCGCCTATTTGCAAAACGCGAGTCCACAATCATGTTAAAAATGCTCGTCAGCGGTCGTTAATCGCTGCTTACTTTATGTAATTTTGTATTTAGAAACGCCCGGTCCACGCAAGTTAACTACGTGATTAGTTAATCATCCGACAAACTAAGTTTTGTGCAACGCAATTAAGTCGTGTAGTTAACTAATCATAGTTAATGATTAGTTAACTACAGTGATTAACGCTAATCATAGTTAAAATTAACGACGTTTTTATACAACCGGTCCCTGCTGGTATAAACCAGAACGAAACAATACGCTATTTTGTTTTTGTCCGGAGGTGAATAGTGCAAGCATATCCGGAGCTGAGCAACCAATCAAATTGCTTGAAAAGCACTATCCACCTCCCGAGTATATGCTAATTAATAAAGGTGCAGCAACTCCTCATCCTCTCTTTCCAAACCACCAAGGATCCTATATAGGCTGTTCTAACATTTACAAGTATTTCAAACTGGAAAATACTTTTAATGAAATGAATACTTATACCCTTTTTCTCAGCCGAACGAGAACAAGAGTTGCATGGGAGTTAATGAGAGTTGACTGGATATTACTCATCTGCAACTCTCATCAAAATTTGAAAATATTGGTGACATTCGATGACAGTTGGGAGTCAAACGCGAGCAAGAGTTGCAACTTTCATCAACTGTCATTCTCGCTTTACAAATACTTTCAGACGAATTTGTGTAGAATGCATTCCCTTTATACGGTCTGTGTTTATATAACAAACTCAGTTAAACTTTAATATTTCAACCTAATATTTAGTTACCTGTTAAAAAACAGTTTAAAAGGTTTAAATTTGGATTTTTTGTCATGACCTGAAAAAGTAAAGTAAAGAATAAATTATAAAAAGTATACTTAATATTAACATAGTACGTGAGCAAGTAAGTACGGTAAATAAGTACTTGCACATGAGAGCTATTGACTGAATTGCAAAGGATGCCAGTTTTCAGTCACATGAACAGAGATCCCCTGGATAGTTAGCATAAGAGGAGGTGCCCAGCACAACTCTATACAGTGGATGCAAAATTGCTTAGCAGAATTGACTCAAACAACACAACACAACACAACACAACACAACACAACACAACACAACACAACATAACACAACACAACACAACACAACACAGAAAAGACAACAACGAACGCAGAAAAGGAGGAAGAGAACAATGAAAAACAATATTAGAACTTTAAAATATAACGATTACCTCGCGTAATCAATAAAGAACAATATAACACTAGTATAAGTTGTTGGTATACCTGATTTAGTCGTGCTTTGAGAGGAAAGTTTCGGAGAATGTGTGGTTGATTTATTTTTGTCGTATCGCTGTTCCGTTACTACTAAACAAAATAAATTCAAATAAAATCAGATTACGAGGAGATCATTTGCAGCTAAACCTCAGCAACCCTGACTGCAAGGGCAAAACTCGATGACATCTCGTGCATGCCAACACAATTTATCTATCGGCATCCGTCCGTCCGTCGACCATCTACTTATCCATCCATCCGACAATTTCAAAAGTATGAGACAAAACACTATCCAAAGATTGGCATCTTGAAACTCAAGATATGAGTCAAAACAAGACGAGAATGAGTTCTGATATTTCGATTTTATTTCAAAATCATCATCAGACTAACTGAAGTTACAATATATACGCGATATTTTATACAAAATGGTATTGCATGACGTAATTACAAAGGAATTTACAGGCAGTATAATCACGACAACAAAGGTGTGGGGTGAAACGTGTGATGGTCTGTGGGTGTATTGCAAAAGGATTATGATTCAAAAGTGCACAAGTTCCTTGTTGTTTCTTTTCATAATCATTTTGCAATACACCCACATGTCATCACACTTTCACTCCACACCTTTGTTGTCGGGATTATACTGCCTGTAAATTGCTTTGTAATTACGTCATGCCATACCAATTTGTGTAAAAGATCGCGTATATATTGTAATAGGCCGTGGGCCGTTGTGCGAAAAAGAGCTTAGAAAAGCAATTTCGTGGCAACCCCTTGGGGAATAGATTTTCTGTGGTTCAATGTATAGTACCATAGATGCTCAATCACCACAAAAAGTTCCCAAGCAGAAAACGTGCCAAACACCGAGAAAATTGGTGATCAGTGATTATCCTGTATTAAATTGTATTACAGCAAGAAAATGTGAAATTTTGTATTCAATTACAACAAAAATGACTTGCATCATCAGAAAGCTTACAAAATCTACATATAAGATATTTAAACAGTTTTTTTTATATCTCTAATTGTTTTCGAGTTATACGCTGTCAAAAACGCGTTTTTGACCTGGTACCCAGTAACTCCGAGACTATTTGAAGGATCAAAAAACTGTTTAAAAGTCTTATGTGCGGTTTTTCTAAGCTTTCCGATGAAGCATGTCATTTTTGTTGTAATTGAATACAAAATTTCACATTTTCTTGCTGTAATACAATTTAATAGAGGATAATCACTGATCACCCATTTTCTCGGTGTTTGGCAAGTTTTTTGCTTGGGAACTTTTTGTGGTAATTGAGCATCTATGGTACTATGCATTGAACCACAGAAATTCTATTCCCCAGGGGGTTGCCACGAAGCGAAATAATTTTGGCCAACGGCCCACGGCCTATAACTTTAGTCTGATGATGAATTTAAAATTAGATCGAAATATCACAAACTCATTCTCGTCTTCTTGTTACTCATATCTTGAGTTTCAAGATGCTGATCTTCGGATGGTGGTTTGTCTTGTGCTTATTTAATTTGAATGTACGTACCAAGATCATAATCGTGATTCCGATTCGCCTGAATCTTGTGGATTTCATCCAACGATAAAGTACGCCTTCTTTGTGGCGGCTGTTCTCCACCTTGATCCTCTGACCCATCCGGAATGTCAAAAGCTATAAGTATTTCATGCCATTATCAGGGAAACATGACACAATATATTCAATAGATAAAATGGTTTTGTCAACATGAAATCGACTCAAGCGGGAAATTGTACAATTCATATAATAAATTATTATATTTTTAAATCACATTGTTTAAACGGCCAGAATTGCTTAACCAATTTGTGTTGAATGTTGAACTGGTGATAAATTGTACCTGTAAAGCACCCTCAAAGTGATATGAGCATATAAAAAAATAACATTACATTTATGATGTCTTTATAATGGTTGATCGAAATATCTACCTAGTTCAATATCATTTGATGGGAAAACACACGAACGAGGCCTCAATGTTGCCGCTCTTGACAAACTTCGACTTTTCCCACCTATATTTAAATGTTACAGGGAAATAACAATAAAAATTAAGTTTCTCCCGTTTGGAAGAGGGATTCAATGTATTTCAAAACCTTTTAACAGATTTTCTGCATCATTCTTGACATAAAAGATATTACATTTCAAACAAAAACGCTATGCATTCCGCCATCTTGGATACCCATAACCATCGTCGGATATGCGTGACGTCACAACCAGGCTAACATTATTTTTGTATATTGAGCAATCCTCAGGCCATTCCAATGCTAATCCTATTTTTTACTATTGCCAATTTTAAATTTTTAATTGATAATATTTTTAATTTTTAAATGTCTACCCTGGTTGTGACTACATTTAATTAATTAAATCGGTGACGGAAGCTAGGATATGTTGTGGTTTTAAATATCTCAAAAACAAAAATATAGTGTGTTTTATCAGGTATAAATTAAAGCCACTTCATGTGACATATTATGGTTGACATGATTCGCCAAAAAGCTTATGACTTATTATAATGAGTGTTTAAAATTTATTTAAATGTCTGGAAGCCACTTAATCAATAATATTTGTTAATAATCTTAAATTAACATTCTTTCAAATTAGGCAAACATACTTTTTGTTGCCATTTCCCTTATAATTGTGTCAGATGCACGCATGTACTTTCTTTAATTTGAATATAACTAAACGAAACCTACAGGTGATAAATTTATAGCCCATACATAATGTCTTACACTAGTACTTGTCCTATTGCCTACATTTCAAATCATTTAATTATTATCCAGTCTACTTGCCTGTAATTTGTTTTATACCAAACGTTGTAAAACTCGCTTCTGGCGTAGAACTTGGTTGAGATGGTCTATCCTGAATATGACTTTTCAATTCATACGCGTCACTCCCTACAAAAGTTAAATTTAATCTCAAAAAGCACAGGATCTGCTCATGATTAGTTTTTCGAAGTTGTTATTTGTCTGGTCAAGGAAACCAACGAGCTTTGGCTATATTTGTCCGTCGATTCATCTGATTGGTTCATTTACATACATTTATTGATGTTATTTTAGCATGCTGACAAGAACCAAGAAAATAGTTGCGCCGGACAAATAGTGGTTAGCACATTAATTTCCGGTCGCGACAAATAACCACTTCCTTAATTTTTTTACAAAAAATGTTGCCAAACATTACCTTAAAGATGCTGTAAAGTCCGTTCTCCGTATAAGTTCTGCGCAGGCCTACAGTCCAATGGTCGGGACCCGACCATTGGAATGTTATTAATATTTCGCACCTTCCGAACCTTCTTGAATTGAATCTCTAGTCTGTATCCATTTACAAGCATAGCGAACCAGAAGAGTGTTAAAAATTCAGTATAAATATATATATATCTAATCATATTTTACAACTGTAGCACTGAGTACAAACTGTAAAAAAGCGTTTGTTTACATTACGGACTTTACAGCATTTTACAGCATTTTTAGATTTAACTGCAGTTAGCGTTAACTACCGTAGTTAAGGTGATTCATCAGTTTTGCATTGCGCACTTTTACTGCGCATGTCTACTCTGCATTGATTAGGCGTGCTTCAGGATACATACCATAAAAAACGACAGAACTCTGGCTAGGGCTCACTAACACTAAAACAGATCATGTTACATATTTAATCCTTGTATCTCTTTAAGAAGGTGCGTGACCCTACTTTTTCATTATATATTTTTGTTCTTCTATACGTTTTACATGTCATATCATATCAGAAAATAAGAGAAAAATCATTTCTACAACTTATAATATTTTACATTTTTCGCGCATGCTTCCCAAAAGATGGGAAAGATATCTTTGCATCACCACAATGCACGTTAATGGTTTTTGATTCGCTAAAATACTATGTTTTCTTGCATATAATCACTAGAGAGACATTGCGATTGTTCCTGTAACTCGTAAACTCAATTGCGATTGTTCATGTAACTAGCAAAAGGATCAAGACGTTGCCATATGGAGGAAAAGGTGGCATATTGCACTTGTCATATCTTCCAAACGAGTTCGGTTACTCCATATTTTTTTCTGCTTTTGCTACTAGCACATCACAAAAGTAGTGATACCCCCCCCCCCCCCCCCCCCATATAGCAACGGAAGTTATGTATGCAAAACCAATGACGTCACAACGGCGTCGCGTTACCAAGTTGCGTTACCATTAGGTTGCGTTACATGGGTACGTTATCGGTCACAGAATTCAGTGACGTTACCATACGTCACTTTAGGTTACGTTACCAAGTCGTGTTACCGATTTAAATCACAATAGAGTAACGTTACCAAGTCACGTTATGTCACTGGCGCGGCTTTGCCGACATAAACTTGGAAAGAATTTAGATTTAAAACATAATACCATTGCAAATAATATATATAGCACGCTGCTTATGTAAATTTAAACGAAATGGCGTAAAACGATGGTTTTCAAATATATAGTTTGTATTGCTAGAAACAACTGCGTTAGAAATATAAATATTCTGATGGCAGCATTGTCAAGTGATCCCAACACGTAAAGCACAAAAGTTGAGGTAATTAAGGGATTAAGGCAATACGAATTTGCATAACCAATAGGATCTTAATGAATATAAATGGATATTATTACGGGCGGCCGTGGGCATGTTCACGCGAACAGTCAATATTTATAGATTTATTATGCGGGCGTAGACCTTAATCGGGAGCGTGACTTTGCGGGCAAAAGTTTCCACAAGAATTTAGATTTAAAACACATTTATTTCTTCAAAACGTTTTACAAAATTTAGTGCGGTCTACTTCTAAGAGCGTAACGCCTGTCCATATCGACGATCCCTATGACCTGTTTCTGCAACTCTTTCAAAGATTGTGACTAATTTGTTTTGAATATTTATAATTTTGGGGTATGCTGTGAAACTTTACAAGGTGACACAAAATTATGCTTTTAATATATATCGTCACTTGTTTGAGAAGTTTCGCTATCCGATTCATCGTCGTGGCTGCTTTCATCTTAATTCCGTAATCCATTTGGTACGTCTTGGGACTGCTATATGAGACACAGTTTTAGCCTCTTTCCAGTTGATAAATTACTACGTTGGCCTTGCCTTCTCTTGCTTCCGCGCCCTACCTGATGTAGTAGGGACTTTGCTCCTTGTTCGGTAAAGTCTTTAACAACCTCTCCTCCGTGAGTCTTTACAGATTCTCTTCCTTGGAGTACATTTTGATCGACTTCTGTTGCAGCTTGTAATGCTCTTTTGCCAACAACTTTAGCACCTTGTTTGAATAGAGGGATAGCATGTTTGAATGGAGGGCATGATGTATTCAGTTTAACTTTGCACAGTGAACTAATCAAATATCACTTTGTTCACCTATTTTATGGTCAAAAGATTGTCTTTCATCCGTTCTGACATCCATAATTTCATATCAGCGACAATGTGGATAGCTGGTAAGTACATGCGTAAAATCGCCTTTGGACACTCGAAAATCACAGATGATAGAGTGGCACCTCCTACAATTCGGGTAAAAGTCTGTCCATGCACATACAGTGCATGTACTCAAATGGGAGATGTATATATTTTTGTGACAACTGTTGCAAGTTGTGTCAGCAACATCCTCAGATTGTGTATTCTGACGCGACCACTTGTGGGCTAACACAGTGAGGACACGTCCACTTACGAATAGGCTTTTATCAATTTCCAATTCTGCAAGGCCTTTTGTAAACTATATGCTCAATCCATTTGGTTTGGGAATATCTGGATGATAAGGCGTCACACAATATTTCAGAAGGTCTACAATGTCAGTTCCTCGTATATTATGTCCTCAGTAAACGATTTCTCCTTTTCCATTCAAAGTTAAAATCCCCGTAGACGTTAAAATAGAATGAAGGATTTCTTTGGCTCCGTGCTCATCATCAACGTGTAGATATTTAAGAGTGTCTTTAAGTCTCCATTGTTCAGGAGATGATAGTCTGTCGCTATCCATGATTGGAATGAGGAGATGACCTTAATGCTAATTATTTTCTACTAATGCAAGGCCTTTTAAAAGTGGTCCAAGTACCAATCCTAGAACGCCACTTCCTCGCCGAACAAGAATTTCCTTTTTCGTTCTAAAACTTCTACTTCTGTCCGTTAAATCAGCTAGATCTTGTTTGAAATGTCTGAGTTTGTCCTTCGTTTCTTTAGAGTATGTGAATTTTTCTATACAATGACACAAGCATCGAATTTGCTCAGCGGATGCACAAGAAGAAGAGCTTGCTATTGAGTTAGATGAGAAGTACATAATTAATCTTAATCTTAATAGTCATGACTATAGCCTTGATAGTCATGACTATAGTCTTAATAGTCAGGACTATAGTCTTGATAGTCATGACTATAGTATTATTAGCACAAATTTCCAGGTAACTATTGATTTTCCTGCATTCTGATTGGTCAAGATTCATTGTCTCTGAAGTGATATAGTCACTGGTCAGTGACTATAGCTTTTTGCTGCTTTTCAAAATGGCTGCTCGTTTTGTCGTAGTAACAGAAGAGGAAATTGCCCAAATTAAAGAAGATAGCATTCCGAAAAACCCAAACAAGCTACAAAATGTGGTTTAAAAATATTTCAAGGTAAAATATTAAACTTTACGCGCTTTTATTTGGAAAAAACTGGCTTCGTCGCAACGCGACACAGAGCCGTGTCTGAGATTCAAATTATGTAAACAAACTATTTATTGTGAAAATAAACATAAAAACTTCGTTTATTTAATAGAGTGGTTTCAAGACCAAGCTGAATTTACAATAGCATTTGAATGCATGAGTACTGAGGAAATGAATAGTGTCTTTCCAAGTTTTACGTCTCAGCAAGAAAGCAAGACGGAAATTACTACAAAAAAAACTAGTTTGTTGTCCATAAGAGCAGCGCTTGATCGCCACTTGAAAGCACCGCCTTACGACAAAAGATTTTCAATATGCGACACCGTGTTGTTCAGCGAAGCAAATAAAACTCTTAGTTCATACCTGAAGCAGCTCGTGAAGAATGGAAAGATAGCAGCCACAGTACACAAAGTCAGTTTGACAGCCGACATAATCAAGAAGCTGTATGAAAAACGCGAGCTTGCTGATGTCGATACACAGAGTCCTCGGGCTTTGCTTCAAACGGCTTGGTTTCAAATTTCTACCTATTTCAGAAAACGTGGCAGAGAAAATCAAAGTTCATTGAAGAAGTCAATGCTACGTCAAGTCAAAACCGCAGACGGCCAAGAGTGCTTTGAGTTGAACAGAAGCGAACCCGGCGCTGTTCTCACGAGCAAAGATCACACAGGAGGTCTAGATGGCTCCGAAGATCACTCCGACGGCAAAATATTTTCGCAACCCGGTTCTAAACGTTGCCCTGTCGAAATCCTTAAAACCTACTTGATTCATCTTAATCCAAATATTTCCGCGTCATTCCAAAGGCCAAAAAGCGAGAGCTCGGCGAAATTCAACCCAAAAGTTCACGAAGTCTGGTACGACGCTTCGGTAACGTTGGCCACAACACGCTCGAAAATATGCCGCGAAAGATGACCGAAAGGGCTGGAATAACACCATATCTAACCCACCATTCCTTACGAGCGACAACCGTGACAGTTTTGTCCGGCAGCAACATCGAGACTCGGCAAATGAAAGCAATCACGGGGAACAAGAGCGATTCCAGCATTGAAAGCTATTGCGAACGACCAACAATTGGCCAATTCAAGGAAATATCAACGGCGTTAACATAATTTATCCACAGCGACAGAAGTCCAGAATCTCGAAGCCAATCTCTCGATTTGTCGAAAGAAAAACACGGGCATTCTGCCACGATCTTAACACTAATTTCAAACACATCAACGCCTTCATCCTGCCAAAATTTGCAGTCGACTGAACTCGAAAACTTTTTCACGTCGCTTGGCTTGAATTCGGGGTCAATTGTGCCATCTGGGTCATTTAACAATTGCCAGTTTACATTTAATGTAAATATGAACACTCGTTGACAATGATTTATTAATAACAGTACATTTCTGTTTGATTTATACGGCAATATTTGAGCCAACTGTTAACTTGTAATTTGAACTGTTGACAAGACGACAAGCTTCGAAAAATGATGAGTCGCACGCGCATGTTCGGCCGTGACGTACTTCCTTATGCATATTTAACAATGTTATTAATTAAAATAATAAATTTGAAGTGAATTTTTATAAAGTTGTGTTGATTATTATTTGTAAACACCTGGAAATTTATACTATTTAACAATTAGTCGCCGAAGGCGAGGTGATTATAAGCCTATATTCACTGAGCGGAAGGCGAAGTGAATATAGGCTTGTAATCACAGAGCCAGAGTCGTATGGTCTTAATAGTCATGACTATAGTCTTGATAGTCATGACTATAGTCTTAATAGTCATGACTATAGTCTTGATAGTCATGACTATAGCTTTAATTGTACACAAATAATGAATGTTTATGAGTGCAATGGTAAGAATATTTTCATGAGGTGAAAGATGGAATGTTCCATTCAACTCTCACCATTGCACGAATAAAAACATTCATTATTTGTTTTATATAATACCAAAATAGACTAATATTGCTTTTTCAAGAACAGTTTATTAAAACACCATTTAATATTAAAATAAATACACACAAATATAACAGAAACTGAATGTTTTTGACGGATGCAATTTATCGAAAAGACAAATAGTGTAATGGAATAAAACGTTTAGTACAATTGCACTCGCAAAGAGTGCAATGGAACGTATTCCATTGCACTCTTGGGAAATGGATTTTCTATTCAATATCACGTGACCATAAACAGCCAATTAAACGATCAGAATTCAATAAGGGTTTTTATAATCATGACTATAGTCTTCATAGTCATGACTATAGTCTTAAGAGTCATGAGTATAGTCTTGATAGTCATGATTATAGTCTTGATAGTCATGACAATAGTCTTGATAATCATGACTATAGCGTCTTAATTAGGATTATAGTCTTAATATTCATGAACTATAATATAACAAACAGAATAAATGACACAAGAAGGTTGTCCTTGCGTATGGAAATCGTAATCTTGGGCAACAAGCACTTACGGTGAATGGAGTTACAGTTATGCAGCACCCATTACTTGCATCATAGCTGGGTGTACACAAAGCGGTAAGACTGTGTGGGTGAAAACTCTCCTGGAGAATGCACAGAAGTCCACCTCCTCAACGTATCGTCTGGTGTTATGTAAAATTCGTATTGCCTTAATCCATTATTACACCTCAACCTTTGTGTTTTACGTGTGGGGATGACCTAACAATATTGATATTTCTAACGCAGTTGTTTCTAGCAATACAAACTATATATTTGAAACTTTATTTTGAAAATATGCTTGTAAAACCATCGTTTTACCCCATTTCGTTAAGTTACCTAAGCAGCGTGCTATATCTTTGAGAAACTTTATATTATTTGCAATGGTAAAGCGTCGCATTCGCTATTATGTTTTAAATCTAAATTCTTGTGCAAGTTTATGTCCGCAAAGCCACGCCGATAACATAACGTGACTTGGTAACGTTATTCTATTGTGATGTAAATCGGTAACGCGACTTGGTAACGTAACCTAAAGTGACGTATGGTAACGTCACTGAATTCTGTGACCGGTAACGTAACCATGTAACGCAACCTAATGGTAACGCAACTTGGTAACGCGACGCAGTTGTGACGTCATTGCGTTTTGCATACTAATTACTTCCGTTGCTATATGGGGTATCACTGTTCATAAACTTCCCTCCCCTGGGAAGTTTAGCAAATTCTCATTCCCAGAACAATTACTGATGAATCATCTTAAATCCATTAACTGTATAGTTAGTTAACTACATGACTTGCAACTGCGTTGCACAAAACGTAGTTAGTCGGATAGTTAACTAATCACTTAGTTAACTGTGCGTGGGGCTTGCGTGTGGAGTTTAAGCACGAAATAACATGAAGTAAGTCGTGATTAACGACTGCTGACAAGCATTTTTAACGTGATGGTGGACTCGCATTTTGCAAATAGGCGGGAATTTTATTCAAAATAGTGAAAAATAAACAAGAAAACAGGGAAAAATCAAAGAAGAAAACAGTTTTTCCTCGAGATGGCCCTACATGCAAACCGTCTGAAGAGTTTTACATTGTCAGAAAACATTCACAGGGAAGATAGCGATTGAAAATCCCAGGTAAGCGTCGCTTTTCATTATTGCTTTACTGAAAAATGTTGTTCACTCCTGCACAAGCGCCATTTTTAACTACGTTTTGAGAAGTTAAATTAACAATATCCTAAAGCATAGTTAACTTTAACTACTTTTTAACTGCAGTTATTAACGCTAACTGCATTTTTATACAACCGACTTAACTACATGGTTAAAGTTAACCACTACTTTACTACAAAACGTATAGTTAAAAATTATAGTCTTAAAAATAAGAGTTTTATACAACCGGCCCCTGGTGAATAAACTTACGTGTTCTCCGTACTGATTTCGCACGCGGCTTTGGTTTAACTGCTGGTCCAACCGGTTTCGTGCTTATCGACGGTGGTGGAGATGGCCAGTAATCTATAAAACATTATTGCTTTCAGGAAGGCAATACTTTTTCGTGAATGGAGAAATCTACACGAAATACTGCAACACTGAAAATATCATTTTAGGCTAATTAATAAACGCTTTAACACTGGCTCTATGAAGCAAACCCTTTCACCATAATATTGTGATTATCATATCAAGGGTAAAATTGACTAAAAAAAATATTAATACGAAATTACACTTGTTCTCAAAGTATTAATGAAAAATCACACTTGTGTTTGGCGAAATAATTATACTACCGCTCTTGCTACGCCCTCGCAGTATATCTGTTATAAATATTTCGCCAAACACGCGCACTAAATACTTCTCGAACCGGGTAATTTCCTATACTAAATAAACTTTAGCACCTTAACGCTGACCGCCCACCCCCTCTAAAAGTAGCTATAGAATCTTAACATTCACCTTATCATCTGCTGTGGACGCGGACGCCAGATCATGGCATGCAATATCCCTTTTTTCAGATGTAAAGTTTAATTCTTCAAGACTTTCATCTTTTTCCATAATATTTTATTTAAATTATTTTTAAAATTCAAGGATCATGCGAAGGTATAAAATTCTTTATTCTGCAAATTCTTTATTTATGCAAATGCTTTTATATAAATCAAATATTGTGAAAATTTATGTACTAAAAATGTAAGCTGTGAATTAGAAACGAGCAACGCCAAGAACAAATGTTGTATCCGAGAACTGTACGGAATATACAAGCTGACTACAAATCAAAGGTAATAAATTTCCAAACCTACAGTATGTCTATTACATAATTTATACCAACCGTCATCACCAGTGGACGAAGATGGTGATGGTAATGGTGATGGCATTGGTGGTGAACTTGGCATAGCAGCAACTGGAGCCTTCATGACTGGCTTTGGAGAAACAATTGGTTTTGGAATCTGTGTACGCAGGATTGGACCTAGCTGTTTCCGGTCGACATACAGCGATGATGATGAAGAAGGGATACTCGATTTCCAGTTTTGACTGTTATCATTCAGCTGTTGAACCACTGAGAATTATTTCAAAACGGCAAATATAGTTGGTTAGCGCGCTTATCTAGAGTCTAAGAAGTCTCGATCGGGTTCGATCCTCCCTCGGGGACTCATGAGTATATATATATATATATATATATATATATATATATATATATATATATATATATATATATATATATATATATATATATATATATATATATATATAAATTTTCAAGATTTTCAAAAAAAAAAGTTTAAAAAAGTTTAAAAAGTTAGATTTTCAAACAATTTAACTGGATTAGGGTTAGGTGTTAGTGGTTAGGGGTTAGGGGCTAGTGGTTAGAGTTGGGGTTAGTGTTAGGGGTTAGGTGCCGCGAATTTATCATAATGATAAATTCGGACGTGTTTAACAATTTACTCATATAGTGCATTCAAAGGTGGAGCTCATGCTGTGTTATTCACATCGGCTGTTTTACTATAGCTATATAGTATTTTCTGTATAATTATTGATTTCATTGAATAATTTGTATAGTGTATACTTACAAGATGGGTAAATAGCCACAGTAAGTGGGTACATGAATTCTTCAGTAGGTGTCATGTAATGTTGGACCAATTGTTCCAATGATTGAAATTCTTTCTGGGTTGACTAAAATAAACAAAAATGTTTTTATTACTATAAATTTTGTACTCAAAACATATTTAAAGCCAAAAACGCATGTGTGTGTGATATGTATGAGATTTCACATAATATTAATATGCCTGCATGTGGTACAATGATTGAATTGGATAGTATAAACACAATAATACTTTAGATATATAAAAGGTAAATGCAAGAAAAGTTCCTGACATTATATATTCGTAATAATTTTACGTTCACGTAAATGATCCAAAAATGAATGTCTGAAAATGTTTTCTTTTTTTATAATATAATTTTATAGTACGCGTGTACGTTGAGAAGCGTATAATAATAACTGCATGGAAGCACGGAAAATTGTGTAATAATATGCAGTTTTGAAAACAAAATTAAGGATCCATAGACTGAAGAAATTAAGGCAATCCCCAGCTCAATTAACGCAGCAGAACCTGAATATTTCACTGCAAAAAGACCTTTAGTATTTTGACCGAAAACTTGACAACATTTATGAGCAAATTTACTCATTTTTTGAGTAATGATTCACTTTTACAAAAAAAGAAATAAATTTGCTCATAAATTTGAGTTACTATGGGTACATTATTCAACTCAAGTTTTTTGAACCAAAATACGCAGGTTTTTTGCAGTGCTGGTGGTGAAATTGATGAGCAAATGGCAACCTGGGGTGGACTTTATGCTATATAGGTAATGGGAATTTGTAAATTAATCGATAAATGTTTCTATACAGCTACAGAACGAGAAATAGTGAGCTGAAGCAAGCGACGTTTTTGTCAACACGCGTTTCATTTTGGCGGCATTTTGCATCATAGCCCTCGTATATAAGGAAGAAAAAAACTTTAAAAACCTAGTTAAGTTCTGTCATATTACTCATATATATGTGTTGAAGGTTACCATAAACTGGTTAAATTAAACATTTTAATCCAGTCCATCTCGGCGATCTGACGTCCGTGTTGTCAAAAACGTCGCTTGCTTAAGCTCGTTAATAGCAGTGGAAAGTTTTCCCACTTTATTTCGAGTATCGAAACACGGAAAGTGTTTCTATTTCTTTTAAGACATTTAAAAATGTCTATTTTTAGTTAAATATGTAATAATTTCCATTGACCTGTTTGACCATTATACCATTAAACTTCAGTTGTTTTCAATATAATTCTACATAGACAACTTTTTATATGGTATACCTCTAACATAACATGATTTCCAGATGTTGGTCCTATTCTATGATGATATACCTCTCCTTCAAAACTTTAGAAAAAATACAAATTAAAAAATGTTAAAAATTATCTTATCTAGCAATAAAAAATCGACGTCATCATTATAATAATATATGTTAATGTTTGAATTATGAATCAACTGAATTAAGAACGCCCTTGGTAAACTGGTAATGGTAGACTAAAAGGTAAACTGGTGATGATAAATGTATACATTTCGAACATTGAAAACATCATTTCGAGATCGATATATATATATATATATATATATATATATATATATATATATATATATATATATATATATATATATATATATATATATATATATATATGTATATATATATATATATACATATATATATAGAATTACGTTTCGTTGTTTAATACAAAAACATTTGGCAGAGTGCTCAATAGATATCCAGAGCATAATTAAATAAGTGCAACGACTCAACAAATTCCACTAGGCATCTTTATTACTATTAGTTTCGTACCACAAGATGTGGCACTCATCAGATAAATTAGCCTTATGACTACAGCAAAAAACCTACAGTATTTATGTACAAGTGGATGAAAGCTTTAAATTAATCCTATTCACAAAGCACGCAAAGCAAAAGCAATTATTATTTATATATATATAAATATATATATATATATATATATATATATATATATATATATATATATATATATATATATATATATATATATATATATATATGTCTTGTTTGTCGATGCTGACACGTATCTGGAGAGTGCTCAATGCAGGTAAGATTTTGCAGAGCAAAACTATTATTAGTGTAGACTAAGACATGATATCTGAAGAGAATTTATTAAAACCTAAACCTATTTACGATAAAAGTTACTCGAGTTTCACGCACAAAGGCGATCATCAGACTAAAGTGCTTTTACGGTGGATTGTAGTTATAAGCGTAAAATTTCCTTTCGTGACAACACTTAGCTATTAATTCTGATCTTTTGTTCAGTAGTGATTGTTTATCTGCATTTAAAATGCAGATTTTCTCGGATAGGCACAAGTTGCATATCTTTCCTCCACTCCTATAAGCATTTGCACGCTTAAGGATTTTCCACTCGATTGCGTAAGCTGTGTCGGATTCCTTTAATTCCCAGATGAACTTCGAGAGCGTTGTACTTCCAGCGTGCTCAACCGAACCATCCACCTCCCATACTTAAGCAGCTACCATCGACTATATCCAAGAGGGTTTCGTCGCTTTCATGCAACCCCGAGGAATTCGCTAGAGCAGCCCCCACCTACGATAGCGCCCTTCAATGTAGTGGGTTTACCAGCAAACTAGAATATTCCCAACCATCACCCCCTCGCAGGAACCGCAGAAGGAATATATTATGGTTCAACCCGCCGTACAGCATGAATGTCCGAACGAACGTCGGCATGCATTTCCTGCAATTAATAGACAAGCATTTCCCAATAGGCCACCAGCTACGGCCAGTCTTTAATAGAAATAGCTGTAAAGTAAGCTATAGCTGCATGGATAACATAGAATCTATAATCAAGCAACATAATGCTAAAATTCTTAAACCCAGCCCGACAAATGACGTTAACAGTCAGTGTAATTGCCAAGACGAGAATAACTGCCCATTAAACAATGCATGCAAGACAAAGAGCATTGTATTTATA